GCCAGCGGGCGGGCAGTAGGCCCAAGGGAACTACCTCAAATCTCGTAAATATCTTGATTCGTTGTTAATGATGCCGGATTAGCGATAGCTCGTCTAGATAGAAGCAGGTCTGGAGCGCCTGAACCTCTTTTTGATGCTGTTTTCAGAGGAGGATTTATGTAGCACATTGGGCGCGTGCGCTGATGTGTTCGTGATGGAGGAGGGACTTTTGGGGCCAGCAGTTGATGTTTTCCTAGCTAGCACTCTGGCGCGTGTTGCACATCACCTGCTGGCACTTCGGGCGAAGTTTTGTTGTTTTTGGTAGCGTGCGAACGCGACAAAAGGCGCCGTGGTGCGCCATGAGCTTGGCAGTGTTCGCAGTTTCATTGGGGCGTGACTGCACTGTGGTTTATTGCACAGGTTATTGGTCGTGCATTGAGCGTTCCTTTTCGAATTATGGCTGATTCGAGATGATCGTACATCGTATCAAGAACAGGTGGACGTGTCGTTGAGGTACTTGGGATACACATATAGCCTCGTTGGATTCATGTGCATGGAATGCAGGTAGAGTATCGAGACGGTGTGAGATCTTGCTTCCTGACGAAGAACACGAACAAAAATATTTAGACCATTCATCTCCCTTTCCTGGCATAGCTTGGCATCTTGCACGTATGTCGAACACACTACAAGTGCAACGTTCCCGCGTCCCGTGCTTACTTGGAGTGTGATCTTGTGAATTTTTTCACATGGTGAAAACTGCGCCAGTGTCTATGGGGGCGTACTCTTATGTTTTGCATGCCCTAGCGGTTAAGACCATGACCATTGACCACGCGTCCTCGAGAGGACGGAGCATTGTTCCCACAGGACGGATCACCGATGGCCAATCGTTCCTTTCTACTTTGCCAATAGTGACTCAAAAATGTCTGCGCCAGTATCTGGGGGGGGAAAGAGAAATACAGTCACACGCTCAACCACCCCGACCTTAGTACGCATGCGATGATGTACATGATAACAGCAAACGATTAGTTGATTACACGAGGTATCAATAGGTTCCCTCTTCTCGTCTCATGCACAGGGGGGGGGGGGGGG